GCTCGTTATTGGTCAACAGTCTTTTAATTATATTTTCGCGCCTCTCCTGGTCCGAACAGCCTCCGAGAGGCCCGAGTTATTGTGTTTTGCTGTTACTAGCAAGCCAGAGCAGTGAACAACGAACATCATTTTTTTTCTTTCCTATGTGGTACAATTGGTACAATTCTACTGTATAAAAAATTGTTTATTTTGCTCGCGAGTTGGAGACACGTTGGAAGGGAACGCGAGATTCGACGCGTGATCGAAAGAACGAAACGGTAAAGCAAGAAAAAGAAGAAAAAAGCGAGCAGGAGGAACAGGAGCGTTAAGTGGATCCTCCTTCCCGCGCCTTTTCGAATCTCACGCCACTTCGAGCGTTCCCTACCACGCGGCTGGCGCGACTTTCGAATTACGTAAATCGTTTTTCTCACTTTTCCTCGAGATGACTTGTTTTATTTTATTTTATTTATTTATTTAATTATTTACTTTTTTGGTAGAAGCGATCTACTACTTTAAATGACACTGTTTCTACAACATCGATCGATTACCTTGAAAAAAGATTCTCCAATTTCCCGCTCGCATATTTTCTTTTTCTCTCTCCCCTGCTCGTACATCACGACGACAACGAAACGATGATTATTCGACTCGAATGACATACGTTGGCTAGTGGTTCTTTTTTCCCGTTACACGTCTTTTTTCTTTTTTCTTCATCTCTCAGTCGCACGTGTTTCCATTCTCTCCTACCACGCACGCACACACGCACGCATCCACTTGCCCCCCTCTTTTGGTACCCTTCCGTCTCACTCAGATCTTCGCCTGTCGTTCGCTCCCTCTATGACCAGTACCAGAAGATCGTTCCATAAGACACTGCGTCCCCGAGAAACCACGAGACGGTCAAAAATTTTGATTCTCAGATTTGCATCCATATCAGTCTGCGGGTCTGTGCATTGATTCGTTTTCGACTCCCCGTATCTCGATCTACCATTATTTTGTTCCTTCCGTTACCTAACAACGCAAACAAATGAAAAAAAAGAACATAATTTATAATACCACGGCGAGCAGGGATGTGAACGTCGTATGACGCCGCCATTGCTCCACGATCGAACAGAGAAACAAGGAAACGATAAAAATCCGATTGCATCGATGGTAATGGAGCATCGTGACGTCATCGAGGCGACTCCCCACTCCGCCATAGTGGACTAGACACACCAATCTTATCGACAGTACGATAATAATTACAACTTCGAAGAGAAGTATAGCATAACGTCGAATTTCGTACCTTCGCGTAGAAAATGACGGACACCGTAGTCCGCGAATTTTGGAACACCTCGTGAAATCACAATCGCGCCTATATAAAACGGATACCCATCTTTGGGATCACTTCAACGATAATTGATGAAACGACCGATCGATTTCATCATCCGACAGGGCGCGCACGGCTCAGCATGACTAGATGGACCGGAAGCGGCCAGGTTGTCGAACTTCGATCACCGGAACGATACGAAACATTCCAATTGGGACACGATATTGCGAGGATCGTTTGGACGACGATCAACCTGAGCAACAAACGCTTCCGAGAAGACGTACACGAAGACGGCGAGGACGAGACAAACGGGCTTTCGCTCTCACGTTCGAAGCAGCTGCTTTTCCACGATTTCGTAGGGAGAGATCTTCTTTACCGACCAAAGCTAATCGATCGGTAAATATTACCCCCGAATGGTAATTGATTCTAAACCGATTTTATCGAGAGAACGAGATTATCGACTGATGCTTGGAAGCTTGATCAATGGATAATCGTGATTTCTCGATGGAGCAGCTGCTTGGAAAATTAGCCTGTCGATTATCGATCCAGCGAGTCAAACCGTTCATCTGAGCCAGCCGATTTGGAGACTCGTCGAATAGTACGCTTCGAAATCGCAATCTTGGCAAATGGAACGTGTCTCTCTCTTTCTTTCTATCTTTTCTTTTTTTCGACGTGGACAAGACCAAGCTAGCCTGTCGTCGTTCCACACAGCCCGTTTGCCGGTGATTTTCAGCGAAAGGCCACAATGATCGATCTCGTCGCTCTAGCTGGATCGCCTAAAGAAAGCTCGAGGGGCGGGGCAACGAATCGTTAAAAGGACACCGCGATAAATCGCGAATTACATTAATAAAATCGTGCTCGCTAGAAATTCATTAATCGCCTCGCCACGCGCGGAACTGAAATCACAACGTCGCGTAAAAGTTTCTCTTTTTTTTTTTTTTTTTTTCTTTTTCATTATTTCTTCTCTAGAACTCCGTTCCGGCGACGGCCCTTAAAAAATTCGATCTAAGTCGATAACAGTATTTTTTCTCTCTTTTTCCCATTAATTTAATTTAACCGAGGCTTGCACAAGACCCATTTTTTTTTTTTTTCATTTTTGGATTTAGTTACACCTTTCGTATCTTTCTCTCTTTCTCTTTATACACTTCGTTTTTCTCTCTCGCTCGCACGCACGCGTTCACGTATACACACACACGCACTCGGAGGTACACATACCGATATCACTCTGTCGCGTCTTCTCGTCGATTGCTCTCTCGTTCAATCGCGAGGGACCGTATTCTCGTTAGTCCGCTACTGTTCGTTCGTCGCGTCTCTCTCGCACTCGCGCGCCTTTCACAACCCACTCGTTCCCTCTCACTCGCTCCTCTTGCTCCGCGTATCTTTCCTCCGACTTCATACTCTCCCCCTTTCGCGCTCGTTTTATAACGTTTTCTTTCTTTCTTTATATAGAGAAATACGATTAATCTTCATCACCTAATATTGCATGCGCGTGAACACAATTTTTTTTTTTTTTTCCTTTTCAACGATGGAAAGAGCTTGCGTCTCTTCGCGTGGCGCAGGGACCACGAGTGTCGTGTGTAGAACTGCCCGGACATATTTCTCCAAACAACTTCTGCCTTCGTATATGCGTACACGTATACGCGCGTGAATCTATACGTGTACACACATAGGATCGACCGTGTACGCTTTTTCATCGGTCCCTCCGTTTTACGCATATATATTCGACGCCAAAAAAACGTGCCTCTTGAACGGTGTGTAGTTTTCTCTTCGTTCCCATTTTCGATTCGCGTCTCGCGCGACACGAGTCCGCTCGGGCTGATTTTAATCTCGACGGAGAACGCTCGAAAGGCGATTTTCGGAAGAAAAATGGAAAGTTCCGTCGGGACGAAGTTTCGGGAATCTTTCGACTCGTGGCCGTTATAGCCTCGCGGGCTCGCGCGAGACGGAAATCGAGCGGGAACCGCGGTCGGTAAGTTGGTTTCCAATTTTACCCCTTCGTCGGTAAAGTTTTTAGGGATTAGAATAATTGGTGACTTCTCATGAGATACTTCAGTAGTTTCGCTCTGTCCCGAGGTCGAGAACCGAAGTCGATGCCGCCATTTTGCTCGTTTTACACGCCGAGAAATCTTGTCTAATCGGTTTCTTTACAAATATACATTTCGTGGGTGGATTTAGTCGGTGAGCATGGAATAAAAACGAGGCTAGAGAGATAGGTTGCGATTTTACGTATAACGATAAAGCGTCCCGACTAGATTGCCGTGGGGGTTCTGTATTTTTGTATTTGGTAAGAAGATTGTACTTTATCGAGGTGTCGAAGGCCTTTCTGGTGATCGTTACTTTATAAGAGAAATTAGCGTAGCTGACGCGTAATGTCTACGTTGAAAGATAATTTCAATAAAAATACTATTTTCTTTCATCATATTTTTACGTATTTCCTTTTGTCTTATCCGCTTTCGAGAAAAATATCAAAGTTGTAAAAAATTACGCTCGAGTCTCTTTGAATGAGGAAAGCACTAATTCGAGCTCCACACGCTAGAGCCCGCTTCGCCTGTCGTACGCAGTCATACGATGGTCGTCCATCTTAAATTAACAATGTCATGGCTATCGAGTAAAAAATCTGAAGCATTCGATGCTGAGTTCAAATCGATAGAATCTATCTGGTACATACAGGTACCGACCTTAGAAAATAATTTCCTTTTTCCCTTTACCAAACTTTCCACCTTTTTCGAGAAAAAAGTTCTCAGGAACACTGTCGATGGCGTACCCAATTGGCACGCCCAATTAATAGTACGTCTAACGATATACCTAAACACCTTAGGCATATCTAAATCTAAAAAAGTTACCGTAAACCCTAACCCTTTGCACGAATCCCGACGGCAATCTGAATGGGAACGTTCCGTGGCTGTTTGCTCGATAAAACGGGGAAACGAAGCCGGTCGTCGACTCTCGGTTCGTCGTCAAGGCAGATCTCGTCCTATTTCTTTCGTCAGAAAACTGAAGCCTTATCTATCTGAATAATAATAAAGTAGCGTTATATCAGACATCGTGCGAGCCATTCGAAACACGGCGAGACGCGGCAGCAGATCGAGCGTCGCGACGCTTCGACCGATCGATTTCCCATATCTAATCCTCTCTTCGTCTTCTTCCTCTCCACGTCCACACGACTCGATCATCCCTCTCTCTCACTTCGATCTTCGACTCGTTACCAATCACTAAAACGTGAATACCGATCTGTTCTCGCGTCGAGAGAGGAACTCGTGGCTCTCTTTACTCGCAAAAACAGTCCGAAAGCTTCGATCAGCGTTCTTCTTCCTCTTCGACAGGGGAAAAAAAAGAAAAGGGTTGGAGAAACGACGGAGTCGATGGACGTGCAACGAACGGTTGTCCCCCGTTCGTGTCGCGATCGCAGAGATCGACGGGTCGATGGCGACGCTCGGAACCATTCGTTTCTATCTTCTCTTCTCTATTATTTCTATCTTCTTCTTCCGGTTCTTCCTTTCATCCTCATTTCTCATCCACGATACTCACAGAGGCCTCGTCGAAAAGCGTAACGCGTGTCCCAGGGCGATTTCGTACGGCCCGTCCAACTCGTGTTTATGCGTGGTGTAAGGTTTATTACTTTTTAATCAAGTATATAGAGCATATCATTTTTAGTCGTAATAATTATATTGATATTGAACTACCTAACCTAATATTTACAGAGTTTCTTCTTTCTCCTCTTTCTCTTCTCTTCCCTCCTCTTCATCTCCTTCATCTTCTTCTTCTTCTTCCCTTTTTCAACGCTCTTGGCACTACTTTTCCTCCGTCACTCTCACGCTTTCACATCCTTTGCTCCCATTTACGCTCCACGGAATCGCGCCATCAGCCATTCAGAAAATTCCTCTTCTTGTTACCCCTGCGTCGCGTTACTCTCAATGATATTTCCTCCCTCTGTTTCCCTCTATCAATCTCTCCCGCTCTCTCTCTTCTATCCTTTCACCTGGACCCACGTTCTCCACGGGACCTCTATCTTCCCTTTTATTTTCCCTCTCGCTCTTTCTACACGCATTCACACGCCAACGCATACGCATACATACAACCGAGACGCATCATTCGCACGCTGATACATTCATTTAATCTAGCGCGTGGTCGCGTCGTCCGCTTCACCACGTATTTTCTTCCGCTTTGTCGCGCGCTCCTCTGCGGAGCGGCCCGCGAATTATCGCCAATAAATAATTTACTAAGTCTTTTTCGCAGCGAAACAAACTTCCAAAAAACGATATACATGTACATATACATATACATATATATACTCGATGATCAGAATCGTCCCGTTGATCTAATCGCGTTGTCAGTCGGCAGCGAACGGGCGCAGCGCACATTCCCGGCTTCCTCTCATCGTCACAACGCGCCTTGTCTTCCATGACCAGCATCCACGATGGCCGTCGTCTGTCACTCTTACTCCCCTCCAACTCTCTCTCCCTCTCCCAGAGGATAAAACGTCTCTTCTTTCCCCAAAAAAAGCTAGAGCTGCTTCGTGAATCCCGGTAGCTTCGTCCATTTTCATCCTCGACTTTTGCTCCTCTCTCCCATCTCCAATGTTAGGTGTCTATGTCATCCATAGGACCGTACAGGTCCCCCGTTGAACCCTCTGGACTCGTCCCGTGACTCGTGCCAATGTGGGCCACCTCAGCTCATCGCCTCTTTTAGCTACATGTACAAGACTAACCCTGTGCCTCGCTTACGTTACTTTGGAATCGTTTGAGATCTAGACTAGAGACTGGCCACGTAGGATTGCCGTTAGGGGCATCGAGCACCTGAAGCACCGACGGGAAGGAACCGATCCACGAACGCAGCTCGTAGCCTGATCTTCTGTCTCTATCTCTCTCCAGACATGTCCGCTTGACTCGACGATCAGCCTCCGGGCGAGGACGCTCCTCTTCCGAATCCAGCTGGAGGACCATCCAAACGGAGTCCGAAGGAGGAGGCCGACAGCTAGAGCTAGAGCCGGAGAAGTGGCTGGTGGAGAAGGAGGAGGAGGATCATTCCTGGAATTCTCGCTCGGTCTTCTCTTCTCCTGGTCTCGTTTGTCGGCGAGACTCTCCGGCTGGCGCCTGGTCCACCACCACCACGGCTGTCCACGCGATAACGAGGCATCGTCAGCTGGCCGAACCAAGTTTCTCCTGCGAGTCAGTCTTGAGGGATCCTCGACGGGTGGAGGATTCTCGAGGAGGGCAGAACAAGCACGACGACCTGGGTAGCTGTGGCAGAGGCTGCAGTGTCCTTCTGCGCGTCGTCGACCCCTCGCTCCGCCACGGCTGGGATGGCTCGTCGCCGTTTCCACGAGATGATCCTCGCTCGTCCGTCGACCTCGAGGAACTCGCTGCTCCCCGACGCGGTTGTCGTTGTGGCCTCGAGTGCTCTCCTTCTTGGCCGTGCCTCGGATCAGACGTGCTGCTGCTGGTGCTGATGCGGCGGCTGCTGATGGTGGTGCTGGTGGTGTTGGTGCTGGTGCTGGTGGCTCTCGTCCGCCTCGCACGGGACCACCGTCAGACTGGACAGGTTGCTCAGGTTGCTACTGGACTCGGAATAACTGGACAGGGTCGGTCTCCTGGGCGGCACCACCACGGCGGGCGTCGAGCTGCCCGGGCTTGGGAACTTCCGGAACACCCTCAGCAGGGAACTGCCCGCGCTGTGGCAACGCACTAGCCGTTCTGGCGCGTCCAGCAGCGCGGACTGGCTTCGGTAAGGTGGCGGACTCTCGCTGTCGAACACCGTCCGATTTGGCGGCGGTCGCACGCACTTCTGGTATATCTCGCTCTCCTGCAAGCATAATGCACGACTTAGTTTTGGGGTTCGTCAGCTTTTCGAGGTGTGTATAGGATTATTTTATTTTTTAATTTTCTAATTTGTCGAATAATTAATAGTTTTCGCTTTCTATCAAGGGTATCTTGCTCTTAGGGGGATTCCTGAGCTTTTACAGGTATGTATAGGGTTATTATAATTTTAATTTTGTAATTTCTCCAATAATTAGTATTTTTCGCTTTCTTCCTCATTGGAGGTTGTGAGCTAATACAGGTATGTATAGGATTATTTCATTTTGTAATTTTCCAATTTGTCGAATAGTTAATAGTTTTCGCTTTCTTTCAGGGGTGCCTTGCTCTTTAGGGGACTCCTGAGCTTTCACAGGAATATATAGGGTCATTATATTTTTTAATTCACTAATTCTAACTTGTCGAATAATTAGTATTTTTAGCTTTATTCCTCTTTGGGGGTCGTGAGCCTTCAGATGGATATATAGGATTATTTTATTTTTTAATTTTCTAATTTGTCGAATAATTAATAGTTTTCGCTTTCTATCAAGGGTGTCTTGCTCTTTGGGGGATTCCTGAGCTTTTACAGGTATGTATAGGGTTATTATAATTTTAATTTTGTAATTTCTCCAATAATTAGTATTTTTAGCTTTCTTCCTCATTGGGGGTTGTGAGCTAATACAGGTATGTATAGGATTATTTTATTTTGTAATTTTCCAATTTGTCGAATAGTTAATAATTTTCGCTTTCTTTCAGGGGTGCCTTGCTCTTTGGGGGACTCCTGAGCTTTCACAGGAATATATAGGGTTATTATATTTTTTAATTCACTAATTCTAACTTGTCGAATAATTAGTATTTTTAGCTTTCTTCCTCTATGGGGATTGTGAGCTTTTACAGGTATAGATAGTATTATTTTATTTTTTAATTTTCCAATTTGTCGAATAATTAATAGTTTTCGCTTTCTATCAAGGGTATCTTGCTCTTAGGGCGATTCCTGAGCTTTCACAGGAGTGCATATGGTTATTATATTTTTTTATTCATTAATTCTAACTTATCGAGTAATTAGTATTTTTCGTTTTCTTCCTCTTTGGGGTTCGTGAGCCTTCAGATGGATATATAGGATTATTTTATTTTTTAATTTTCTAATTTGTCGAATAATTAATAGTTTTCGCTTTCTATCAAGGATGTCTTTCTCTTTGGGGGATTCCCGAGCTTTCACAGGTGTCTATACGGTTATAATAATTTTAATTTTCTAATTTGTCGAATAATTAATATTTTTCGCTTTTCTTCAGGGGTATCTTCCTCTGTAAGGGTCGTGAGCTTTCAAAGGTATGTATGGGCTTGTTGTAATTTTAATTCTCCAATTTATCGAATAATTAATATTTTTTTCTTTCTTCCTCTTTGGGGGTCGTGCGCTTTCAAAAGTATGTATAGGCATACTATATTTTTCTATTCTATAATTTGTCAAATAATTAATATTTTTCGTTTTCTTTCAAAGGTATCTTGCTTTTTGGGGCTCCTGAGCTTTCAGAGGTATGATGTATAGAGTTATTATATTTTTTAATTCTCTAATTTGTCAAATAATTATTATTTTTCGCTTTCTATCAAGTATATTTTTCTCTCTTTTATTTCCTAGATCTCTGATATGAAATGTAGGCCTAACGTAGAATGTGAGGTCTAAGTCCTAAATACTATTCTCAAATTCGTCGAATAATTAATATTTTTCGCCTTTTTTCAAAAACGTCTTCCTCTCTCTCATTAAGAAGAGCTGTCACGCGGAATATATACCTAACGAATATTTGACGATGAAAACCACGACACCGGGATTTATTCGAAGGTACAAAAAGTAGCATAGAAATATACATCTACCTGTCGGTATGGAAACAATTCGTGTCCAACAAACTCGGTTCCGCGGAAAAAGTAGCTTTCAAGCTGAACGCCCGGCAAAAAGCAGGAACTTCAGGAATATTCGTCGGGAAAAAAGCGAGAGAGAGGGAGTGAAACTTTTGCAGGATCAATGAAGCTAACCAAGTTAAATACTTCCTAATTCGAGCTCCCAGCCCCGACCATTTATAAACAATTTCCGCTCCGACACTCGAACACGAGCCCGATGAAAAAAGCCCTCGAAAGAAGCAAAAACCCGACGGTGAGCCCCGAGCATCCATCCGTACGCTGCACACGTGCAAAATCGAACAATAAATCGGGGAAAAAAAGGAAAAAAAATTCATATTTAGTTTCCGCGAAAGTGGTGCGCGACACTGTGAGCGGGGTATCGCAAACAACCCTTCAACATGCAGCGTCACCAGAGGCGACGTTTCCCTATTCAGACACAAACGGACGTGGTCGTGAAGCGTTTATTTCGCGGTGGTCCGCCAAAAATCGAAAATCGATTCCGCCACTCTGCCACCATTTTTCATTCCTTTCCACGATGCGACAGCCAATCGAGCAAGCTATCGATAGTACTCTATACCGTGTCTTCGAAGTTGGACCCCGAGTGTAGACCAGTGAGTGATTCGACGAGGAAGGAAGTAGCACCATCCATCGAGCAAACTATAGATAATTTTGTGTCTTCGAGGTTTGACTGGTCAGAGATGAGTGAAAGATGAGCGAAGGATTCAAATGATCACAGGTAAACGATGATCTTTAAGATTGGACTGATCACAAGTGAGCGAGTGAGCCCTGAGATTCGACCGATCACAAATGAACGTATAATTGTCAAGATTTGGATGATAATAGGTGAGCGAATAATTCCTGAGATTTGACGGATCACAGGTACATGAATGATCTGTAAGATTCGACTGGTCACAAAAGAACGAAGTATCACCAAAATTAGCCTGATCAAAGACGAGTAAATGATCCCTAAAATCGACTGATCACAGATAAACGAATAGTTGTTAAGATTTGTGTTGGCGAAATCGATAATAAAGAGATTGACTATACCAACGTAGAAGCAATGACACCATCAGTAGGTTCAATTGTTGTTTGGTAATAGGCCTTATGACTAGAACGTTCGGTTAGTCGAGCACAAAACACGAGAGATTACAGTTGTGTTAAGAATAAAACGTGATTATATAAAAAGGCTGCACTGCGTTTTTGCCTTTTTTCACTTAATTATAACAATTTGGATAATAACAATTTGGGTGAGTGAATGAAACCTGAGATTTAACTGATCACAGGTAAATGAATGATCCCTAAGATTCGACTGATCACAAAAGGACGAAGAATCACTAAGGTTAGACTGATCAAAGGCAAGTAAATGTTCTCTATAATTTGACTGATTGCAGATGATCAAATAATTGTCAAGATTTGGGTAATAACAGGACAGTAAATAATCTCTAAGATTCGATTGATCACAGGTACATGAATGATACCTAAGATTCGACTGATAACAAGTGACAGCATGAACCCTAAGATTCGACTGATCACAAATAGACGAGCAGTTCCCAAGATTAACCAGATCAAAGACGAGTAAATGATCTGCATAAATCGACTGATCACAGATGAGCGAATAATTGTCAAGATTTGGGTAATCACAGGTGAGCGAATAATCCCCAAGATTCGACTAATCACAGGTACACGAATGATCCCTAAGATTCGACTGATCACAGTACATGAACAATCCCCAAGATTCAACTAATCACAGATGAGCTTCCAATTATCAAGATTCCTGTCTTCAAAGACAAGTAAATGACCCTCGGTACTCATCTAACCACAAACAAGTAAATTCTCCTTTCGAAACTTTCGACTGACCAGAGGCAAGTATTGTAAAAGGTCCTCAAGCTTCGACCAATCTCACATGAATAAACAATTCTCTAAATATCCAATTCTAAATCCAGCCTACATATCAATCCACAGTACCCAACTTTTCGCAGTCAATCAACTAACCTTCATCAATTATCGAGAAACGTTGCCAAACAACCAATCCTGACATCTTCTGACCAATCTTGACACCTCCTGACCAATTCTGACAATTTCTGACCAATCTTGACACCTCCTGATCAATTATGACCATTTCTGACCAATCTTGACACCTTCTGACAATTTCTGACCAATCTTGACACTTTCTGACCAATTCTGACAATTTCTGACACCTTCAACCGATTCTCAGCCCGACCCAAACCGAATCCTCTAATTTGAACCAGTCCACGTCAACTGAATTATTTGAAACCAAAAAGCGAAACGAAAACAAATCCTGTATACACCCAACTGCTCACAGTCAACCAACCAACCTTCGCCACTCTTCGAGAAACGTTGCCAAACAGTCAACTCTGACACCTGCCAACCAATCTTGACACCTTCTGACCAATCTTGACCCCTCCTGATCAATTCTGACAATTTCTGACCAATCTTGACACCTTCTGACCAATTCTGACAATTTCTGACGCCTACAACCGATTCTCAGCCTAACCCAAACCCAATCCTCCAATTTGAAGAAGTCCACGTCAACTGAATTATTCGAAACCAAAAAGTGAAACGAAAACAAATCCTGTATATACCCAACTGCTCACAGTCAACCAACCAAACTTTGCCACTCTTCGAGAAACGTTGCCAAACAGCCAATTCTGACACCTCCTAACCAATCTTGACACCTTCTGGCCAATTCTAACAATTTCTGACCAATTCTGACAATTTCTGTCAATTTCTGACGCCTACAACCGATTCTCAGCCTAACCCAAACCCAATCCTCCAATTTGAACAAGTCCACGTCAACTGAATTATTCGAAACCAAAAAGTGAAACGAAAACAAATCCTGTATACACCCAACTGCTCACAGTCAACCAACCAAGCTTCGCCACTCTTCGAGAAACGTTGCCAAACAGCCAATTCTGACACCTCCTAACCAATCTTGACACCTTCTGACCAATCTCGACACCTCCTGGCCAATCTTGACACCTTCTGACCAATTCTGACAATTTCTGACGCCTCCAACCGATTCTCAGGCCTAACCCAAACCCAATCCTCAAACCTGGACCAGTCCGCGACGACTGAATTACTCGAAACCGAATGCTA